TGATTATAGTGGCAATGGCTGTATTGTCATCATGAGAATAATTAGCTCCTGTCTTTTAGACACAAGAGTGTAGTGGGAGGCATGAAATTTACAAATAATATTCACTGGTGATAGCCCCACAATCCTAAATTAAAGGCAATCTACACAGCGATTTTCATGAGTATTTCTTTGTTTCTCTGAATTTTAATACACCTTTCTTTTTTTTTTAATTCCCTGCTCTTGCCCCCAGACAATGAAGCCGTACTTCTCTTTGCATTCTAGGGACACCTAGCTCTAGAGATGCAGGGAAAGTTGGCCATGACCAGAGTCCACCCTTGGCTCCACTCCTCCCTTCATCTGTTATTCTGAGTACGAGGTCTGCCATCCTGGTTTTCTTGGTCTTAGAGTGCTGGGCTGGATTTGCCACACATAAGAAAAAGAATGGATAAGACAGAATTGTTCTGCTTTCAACTAGGTTCTGTTGAGTGCTTGGGGAATTCTTTCATCATCGCTTGTTTTTGTCAGGTTTGTCAAATATCAGATGGTTATAGGTGAAAAGCAAATAAAAAACCGCAATGAGATACTATCTCACACCAGTCAGAATGGCTGTTAATAAAAACTCAAAAAGCAACAGGTACTGGCAAGGTTATGAAGAAAAAAGAATGCTTTTACACTGTTGGTGTGAGTGTAAATTATTTCAACCATTGTGAAAGACTGTGTGGCGATTTCTCAAAGACCTACAGGCAGAAATACCATTCAATCCAGCAATCTGATTATTGGGTATATACCCAAAGGAATATAAATCGTTCTCTATAAAGATACATTCATGTGTATGTTCATTGCAGCACTATTCACAATAGCAGAAAACATGAAATCAAATGAAATGCCCATCAGTGATAGACTGGATAAAGAAAATGCGGTACACATACACCATGAATATTATGCAGCCATAAAAAGGAATGAGATTATATCTTTTGCAGGGACATGAATGGAACTGGAAGCCATTATCCATAGCAAACTAATACAGGAACAGAAAACCAAATACCACATTTTCACTTATAAGTAGGATCTAAATAATGAGAACACATGGATACATGGGGTGGGGAACAACACACACTGGGCTCTGTTGGAGGGTGGGGGTGGAAGGAGGGAGAGGATCAGGAAGAAGAGCTAATGAGTGCTGGGCTTAATTCCTGGGTGATAGGATGATCTGTGTAGCCGACTTTACCATGGCACACATTTATTTACCTATGTAACAAACCTGCACATCCTGCACATGTACCCTTGAACTTAAAATAAAAATTGGATTTTTTTTTAAAAAAAGAAAAACATTAGGGAATAGCTGCCTATGGGAAAGAGGAGAATGGGAGTAAAAATTGGAGAGAGAGAAGAAAATACAAATAAAACAAGAATATCTTGCATGGACTGATGATGATTGTGTTCCAAGAACCGAGAGGTATGATTGAGTCAGCGCTCTGCACTGAAGTCTGAAGGAAGGAAAGAACTGAAAATGAAAGAGAAAATAAAGGCCATGAGTAGAGCCAGGAAGCTTCCTTGTAGACGGGAGAATGGGCCCCACAGCCAGAGCAGAGTAAGCCGACCAGAGAGACAATGCATCTGCCTCAGCTCTGGTTCTCGTTACAACCAGCTCACTGTCATCACAGTTCTTGGGCTCCAGAGAGATTCCCTTACAGGTCTCACCTGGGTCCTCACAATATCCCCTCTGGTTCTCTGAACCTCAGTGGGACAGCTCCTCATGCAATCCAGCAGCCCAGCAGTTCTTTTGTGGGGCCTCTTTGCCTCCTGCCCAGTAGTGGACAGAACTCAGCACTTGGAACTCAGGAACACTTACAAAAAGCATTAGGGGCAAGATAGGTTGTGCTGAGGATCCTGTAGGGGAGATGAAGGACAGTTTTACATCATAAACACTGCAGCGTAGCTATCCTCCACTCCAGCTGGACCACCAAATGGATCATTTTCCTCTGCTTTTCCTTCAGACAGCTCCCAGACCTCACCCTGTGGTCTTAGCCACTCCCAAACCTCCTTTGGCTTCTAAATTTCTCTTTTCTTTCTTATGCAGAACAATTTATTAATATAGTCGCAGAGCCTCTAAATGTGCATATCCACACTTTTAAATTATCGGGACCACTCTAAAATTAGAAGTACCAGAGACCTGGAAATACAGTGTGCTTATGGTTCATTGGTTCTTTTTTTTTTTTTTTTTCCTGTTTCATACGGAACTAAAAATGCCCTGTCTAAAACATGAATTCAATGGGTAGCAAACGAAACAAAGCCCCATTGGGATCTGTCTGTTTCAGAAGCCTGAGTGTGGTGGGAAGGTGACTGCACTGAGGTGCTGAGCTCCAGGACCGGTAGGTTCTACTTCAGCAGGTCACAAGCACCAGCTGTGAAACTGGTTAGACAAGTTCATTTAACTGTGTGCCAGTTTTCTCAATCACCGAATGAGAAAAACAAAATAGGTCTTATGTAGTTCACAGGCTTGTTGTAAGGTTCAAATGAAGATATGATTTTTAAAAGTTTTTTTTAACTTTATAACCTTGTGTAATGTTTGACCAGCGTTACAATCAGCATGTGTTGCACCTTGTTTTTCTTTTGGGAGGGTTTGCAAAGAGTATTTATGGCATAATCTAATTTATGTAAAAAAAAAAAGAGAAAGAAATATACATTTGTATTCAAAACTGGCAGGATATACAAAAAATCGATATCAATGATTAACTATGGGGAGTGACAAGGGGAAGTGTTGAGCGGGTGGGAAAGAGGTTTTTTATCTATACACTTTGAAAATGTTTAAATTTTCTTAACCATGAGCATACAAAACGTTTATAATAAGCACTGGGCAATACTACTACTACCACTACTATTACTGCTACTAGGTTGGACTACCAAGGCACTTGGGTCGGGCACAGACGGCTCTGCTCACCACACTCGGGGGCAGAAGGAACCCCACATTGTCTTGTTTCTTTTATATCAAGACCCTCTATTTGCCCAACAGTCAAGTTAGGGTTAATTTTTCACATCACAATGATTCACGTTATATTTTTTTGGAGGGGGACAGAGTCTCACTCTGTTGCCAGGCTGGAGTGCAGTGGTACAATCTTGGCTCACTGCAACCTTGGCCTCCCAGGTTCAAACGATTCCTCTGCCTCAGCCTCCCGAGTAGCAGTGACTACAGGCGAGCACCAGCATGCCCGGCTAATTTTTTGATTTTAGTAGAGATGGGGATTCACCATGTTGATCAGGATGGTCTCGATCTCCTGACCTCACGATCCACCTGCCTCAGCCTCCCAAAGTGCTGGGATTACAGGCATGAGCCACCACGCTAAGCCCTTTTGGTTGAGACAGAAAATCTCTCTCCATCAGCTGGCTGGAATGCAGGGCTGTGATCTCAGCTCACTGCAAGCTCTGCCTCCTGGGTTCAAGCAATCCTCCTGCCTCAGCCTCCTGAGTATCTGAGACTGGGACTACAGGCACACCATGCCCAGCTAAATTTTGTATTTTTAGTAGAGATGGGGTTTCACTATGTTGGCCAGAATCGTCTCGATTTCTTGACTTCGTGATCCATCCACCTCAGCCTCCCAAAGTGTTAGGATTATGGGCATGAGCCACCTTGCCCAGCCCATGTTGCAGTTTTTAAATAAAATTCACATATGGTGCAAACTCTTTGAGTGCCTTTAAAACATCTGACCCATGCTTTAGGAGCAGGGGCTCACCCAATACAAAGATTTTTTTTTTGTTCTTTTCTTTTGTTTGCTTGTTTGTTTTTTGGAAACCAAGTCTCACTCTGTCACCCAGGCTGGAGTGCAGTGGCAAGATCTCAGCTTACTGCAACCTCTGACTCCCAGGTTCAAGTGATTCCCCTGCCTCAGCCTCCCAAGTAGCTTGGATTACAGGCGTCTGCCACCATACCCAGCTAATTTTTGTATTTTTAGTAGAGATGGGGGGTTTCACCAGGTTGGCCAGGCTGGTCTTGAACCCCTGACTTCAGCCTCCCAAGATGCTGGGATTACAGCTGTGAGCCATCACTCCCAGCCTATTTTTTTTTTTTTTTTTTTTGAGATGGAATCTCACTGTGTCACCCAGGCTAGAGTGCAGTGGTGCGATCTTGGTTCACTGCAACCTCTGCCTCCCAGGTTTAAGTGATTCTCCTGCCTCAGCCATCTGAGTTGCTAAGATTACAGTTAATTTTTGTACTTTTAATAGAGATGGGTTTCACCATGTTGTCCATGTTGGTCTCGAACTCTTGACCTCAAGTGATCCACCCGCCTTGGCCTCCCAAAGTGTTGGGATTACTGGTGTGAGCCACCATGCCGGCCCTAAGGTGTTCTTGTACGTAGAGTATCGTCTTACACTACAGGGAACCTGGAGTGCAGTTGAAGGCAGATTTTTTCAGAGGTTAGGGTGGGAGGTGAGAATGAGTGTTCCACTGGAGAGGAGAAAGGGTAGGGGTTGGGGCAACCATCAACTGTATAGGGATTTACACTTTGCTTTGTAAAGTTATTTTAACCTGTGGTCTGTTTCTGTGTTCAAATAATAACAGCAATATTGAGAGGTTAGTTAGACCTGAGCAAAAGCCTCATTTTATTTAACAGTGGGGCCTGGTGATTGTCCCACTGTCATCAGGGGTGTCCTGAGTAAAACAAGGAACAGGACTGTGTCTTGGTCACAGAGGGATCAGCACCCATCCTCTCTGCATCTACTCCCCCAACCCATCTCTGCCCCAAATTGCCAACACAGGCAGATTCCACTGGATCTAAGCCTTCAGCCTCATCCACACTAATTAGACACATGGAATGCAGAGGTCTGTGAGTCACACTTTCTTAGGACATTCTCTGCAAGTCTAGAGAAATGACCAGTAGGGATGGGAAAGGAAGGGACCCTGGGGTCCACCCAGGGCTGCTGAAAAGGCCCTAAGCCCTACAAAGGTGGAGGGATCTTCAGGTGTGTGTCAAAGTACGAAGTTAACTGTATAAATTAATGCAAGTGCAACAAAACCCTGGTTATTCCCACGATGATTATTTTGAAGCAGTTTAAACATTTTATTTTAGGTTTTTTTTTTCTCCCCGCACCCCAAAGCCCTCGGGTTCCTAGGTTGGCTGCTGCCCTAAGCCGAGTCCCCTGTGGTTCTGCACTGGAAGGTGCAGAGAAGGCCGCAGCGTCACGGGGACGTTCAGGACGTCAGGGAGCTGAGGGCCTAAGATAAAGTAAAAACAACGGCTGTTCCAGACTTAGGTCCCCTGTCCTCTCGCCTCACGCGGGCACAGGGGTCCACCCGGGCCGCGAGCTGGCCAGGGGCTGAGCTGGATCCCAGGGCGCCACGGTCCCCGCTTCACTGCCTTTCGCGCGCCCCACTTCAGCCATTCAGGGTAAGGCAGGAACCTTTTTTCCAGACGGCAAAGAAAGGGAAGACTTTGCCGGAGAAAGAGGCAGTGAAGGTGAAGATGGGCTCCCGGGTCTGGGCGTTGAGGAGGGTCACCAGCCCCGCCTCGTAGTCCAGGGCGACGCCCACGCCGCGCGGGATCTCGCTGAGCCGCAGGTCGGTGCCCGGGGCGGTGCTGGCCCAGCACTGCTGGTGCGAGATGATCACGGCCCAGACGCCGTCCTCGGCGCTGAGGCCCATCTCCCCCTTCCTGCTCACCCCCTCCGCGGCCACCCCCACCGTGCAGCCGCCGCCGTCGCCCAGCTGCAGGTCCACCTGCCAGCGGTGGCGCCCCGAGGAGAAGCCGGGGAAGCCCAGCACCGCCGGGAGGCCGTCGAAGCGCAGGGGGCTGTCTCGTAGGTTCTTCTTCTGCCCGGTGTACCTCACTGACTTCCTGTCTTCCGAGAGGGCCAGGCTCCGGCTGGCGGTCTGGGGGTCCAGAGTGATGACCCCTAGAGGGAGGAGGGCGCAGACCTCAACAGCGGGCGGCAGCCACAGCTGCTCCTAGAGCAGGCAACGCGAGAGGGAGTTAGGAGCACTGACTGGGGCAGCCTGCTCTTGGGCCACTTCTCTGAACAGTCCTTCTACCTAATCGGCAAGTGGTGCTGCAAGGGTTTGCTTCTCAAAGTGTAGGGGGAGGGGCCAGCAGCAACCCCATCGCCCTGGAGCTTGTTAGAAATGCAGAATCTTGGACCCCATCCCACCGTACTAAATCAGAATCTGCATTTTAACAGGATCCCTAGGAGACCTTTCTGCATGTCGGGTTTGAAAAGCACTGATCTATACCAGAGTGAGGTGATGCTTGTGGAAACAATTTCTAAATTAAGCACCAATTAAAAACAAATGTGATTTTAAAAATTGAACATTATTTGTTCAAATCAATAGAGTCCAGCACAATGCTGCTTAGAAATCTAGGGCTTGATATTTTTTTAACCAGTATTATCTATACAACTAGATGACATTAATTAAGCACTTACTATGAGTCAGGTAATATACTAAGCTCTTTGCATGTGTTAATTCATTTTGTCCTCACAGCTACTTATGGGACAGGTACAGTACTTTTTTCCCCTTCATTTTACTGATAAATAAATATTGTGGGACAGAGGCTTAATAACTAGCTCAGTGTCTCAGAGCTACCAAAGCTGAATCAGGAACCCAAGCAATCACGCTCCAGAATTCATGCATTATATTGCTCTGTTTGCTGCCATGGACTGAATGGGTGAATGGAAGAATGACCCTAAATCCCAAGCTGTTTACCTGAATCTGTTTCCAGATGATGCACCAAGTTTTCTGAGGGAAGCAGAAATAGAAAGAGAGATCTGTGACTTATTACTTCTTACAGGTATCCCCAGGGGCAAGGTGTCTTGAGTACAATGTGAAGATGAGGACAGAGGCTGTGGCTTCTGCTGTGGACTAGTGGAGGAGAAGTGGTCCTCACCCTCCTGGACTCTCAGTCCAGAACCTGTCCTTAGGAAGTGGAAGAGATGCTCTGGGAATGGTGCCCCTGAGTCAGTTGAGATCACTAAGGGAAGGATCTGGGGAGGGAAGATGTCTTGAGCCAGTTTTTGAAGGCAGAGAAGAATGGAGATGGGTGGAAGGCAGGAGGGCAGCTAATGGAACTGGGGAAAACTGAGGCTCCTTCCCCTTTACCTGAGAACATCCTCATCATCTCTGGGAGGGGAAGTATTTTCCTGTGGAGATCACGGATCTTCTGGACAAGGTCAGGAGAAATGGCCTCAGGACTCACAAAAGTCTTCATCTCACACCTGCAGACAGGTTGATAACCAGTTAGCTCCAAATTCCAAAAACAAATGTTTGGGTGAGACCCAGTGAAGGTAAAAAATCAAACTAAAGAATGATCTGATGTCTGTGGTGAATAATCAATCAGATTGAGTATCATTTATTTACTTTTGCTAGAAATGTGTAGTTAGTAAAGTTGTAGGCATTTCAGTTAACCTAAGAGGAACTAACAATAATTACTTCTCAAGAATTGGAGAAGTAGGCCCCTGTAGGAGAGTGTTTGGACTTGTGTGGGCTGAGGGACAGAGATCATTACCCATTAAAGCCTCTAGAGGGCAACAGGGTACCATTTGAAAACAGCTTTAAACTACCCTTCTGTGCACTACTATTTGTAAAAGAAAAGAGGCTAGAAGGGAAGAGAAACAAGATAAAAGAAAATATATATTGCAATGAAAAAGCTCCTGATTCTGGTCCCAGCTCAGTCCTCATTAGATACTCGCTGCATGACCTTGAGCACTCTTCACCCCCCAGGTCTCAGTTTCATCAGACTGGAAGATCTCCAAGCCCTTCTAGATCTAAACCTCTAATACTCTTTGAAAAGTATGTTTGAAGACACTTCCTGATTCATGGACCCTGGGCTTATCCTCCCTGTGCATGAATAGGCACAAAGCACGTGACAAGTGTTCCCTAGTCACTACACCTCTTCTCATCTCAGTGCAGACTGCTAATGCTTGCAGCAGACAGGGAAGGAAAGGGGCATGCCTTTACAATGCCTCTGGCTCCTGCTGGCTGTCTTTTGGCAGCAGCTTTAGAAAATTCTGAAGGAAACAAGAGATGTGTGTAAAAAAATGAATGAATGAAAGAATAGGCTGGTATTCCTGGTTTCCATGCTTATCATAGTCTACAGAAAGCATTTCCCCTTTGAATTACATTTTAAATGGTGTTAGATACTGACTCAAGTACTAATAATTGCATAGATTAAATAAATGTTCCTGGATCAACCTAAAACATGATTATCATTTATAACTTCACTTCTAGGGGAAAAATGTGTCCCCAATACCAACCAATTAGTTTAAAAATTAACCTTTAGAACACAAATCTTTAGTGAGTTTGGACTGTTTGTGCACGGGTGAATGAGACAGTGTCTGCCAGAGTGCCTTTGCTTTCCTGGAAGAGGGGAAGTGGGTGGAAGTAAGGGCCCCTGCCCCTGCCCTTGCCCCTGCCCCTTTAGTCTTCATGTTGAGTGAAAGGAGGCAGGACTGGGGAGTGGACCCTACCTGCTCTGGTTGATTCTGACATCCTACAAAAGAAAGACAAGAACATGCATTTAGTTTTCATAAATCGTTCCTGTTAGGGATTGTGTACATCCTTTTTTCCTTAAAATGTGAGCTAAAAACTCTCTTCCTGCAGAGAGCTGTCCTGTTCAATTACCTACTCATTCAATTGTTCTTTTACATAACGCTTTCCTACTAATTTGTGCCTCTGTAGTCAGTTCATTTGTGCTGGTTTCTCTGTTTCAGCCTTATTGTGGGTGGGTTGTGTCTGCAGTGATTAGGAAGTGGTGGAGAGCAGGGACCTGCCTTCAGTTATCAGCTGAACCTGATGTGAACCGGGATCACATATTCATAACCACAGCAGACATCAGTTATTGAGTTCTTTCTGTGTACCAGGGACCATGCTAAGCATTTTATATGGAATGTTAGAAGTTTGCAACAACTTTATGAGGGAGGTGCTGTTGTCATCCCCATGTTTAGAGAGCTTAAGAGACTCACTCAAGTCACACAATTGGAAGAGCCAACATTCAAATCCAAGACTGTCTGACCCTAAAGCCCTTAACATGACCACATTGTATCACTTGGGCAAGTCTCCAGCCCCTCTGGGTCTGCATTCCCATAACTTCTCTCGACTTCCCTTTTCTGCCTCTCTCCAGCCCACAGCGTGGTGCCCACCCCCTTCCCATGGAGTCCCACTCCTATCCCACCAAGTGTGAGGTGTCTCTCACTTTTAGAAGCTCACTTGCTGGCTGCTGGCACTTCTCCTCCAGCTCCTTGACCTGGGCTCCAAGCCGGGTGACTTCCTCAGAGACCTTTGTGATGTATTCATCCCTCTCCTTCCGGATCTGCTGCTCTAGTTCCCTCAGCCTGGCCAGCAGGAGACACTGCTGGTACTCCAGCTCCTGCTGCAGCCTCTCAAAAGCTGTTTCCACCTGATGCTTCTTGCTTTCAATCTGAGCCTGCAAGGGATAAAAGACAGACATGGTTAGGAAGGGGCTCAGAGATAGTGCCCAGGATGATCATCTATGTACTTCTTATTGATTAAGAGGAATAGGGAGTAACTAGTTCCGAGACTCATTCCACCTGTGAATACGCCTAGAAGAAGATAGGTCTCAGGATGAACTTACCAATGACAAGGGCTGTGCTTCTGCCTTAGCTAGAGATTCTAATAACGCTACATTCTGCTCTCAGAACAATGTTGAACTTTTCAAAAATATTTCCACAACTACAATACCATCTTAACCCTACTATACCTTCTTAGAGTTAGGTGGGGAAGACTGTAGTCATTTCTTAGAGACCAAAGAAAGTTGTGATTGGAGTCAATACACCTTAGTGGGAGAGTGTGTGATTTTGGTCTTAGCCATGGAAATCACCCTCTATAGGGCATACTTTGATGAGAGCTGAGGGATGGTGGAGAGATTGTTTTGTCCCCATATTGTCTCCTTGGTCAAGGTACCAGAAATCCCCACACTCCGATTCCTCCATAACTTTATAGCATGAAAAAAGAGGCGTGAGGGAGCCAGATGCAGCCACACCATCAGCCTACTGTCCTCAAGGTCAACCTTGGTCAGGACTAGAACCCTGACACTAATATACACCTTCTGACGCCAAGCTTCCCATCTGAAGGTGGTGTATTTAGGAAGACAGACTAGGATGGAAAGAACAATGGATTAAGGGTCAAGAGATCCAGGTTCATTATGAACTTGGGCTTTGCTATGTGGCCTTGAGAACATTGCTTTTCTGGACCTCAGTTTTCTGCTCTGTAAAATGTGATATGTAAGATGGATCTTGTATTAGAAGACATCAGAACCACTTCCAGTGCTGATGGTCTGAGATCCCAAATGCCTTTGTGCAGCCACAGGAAGGTGAATGAGAGTAGTTTGCCAGTTCTTTTCAGCCAGGCAACAGATACCAGCCAACAGTTTTCCCCAGAGTCTGTTAAGAAAAACCTTCAAAGGAAAAGGTAGCCAGTGATGTGGCCTGTACCAGCAGTGCTTGAAGCTTCTGGTCTTCTCCACACTTTACATCCTCAATCTCATCTCTCTCCATGCTCAGGGCTTCCAGTCGACTCCTGAGACGATCCTGTGGGGAGAAGAATGGGTGGACAGAGGTGGCTGAATTCATAATTCAACTCACAAATATTAATTACCACATCCTGGGCACACGGCTGAGTGCTGAGGGATTCGAAGGTGGAAAAGGCCCAGTCCTTGTTCCTAAAGAGATCACTATCTAGGAATAAGTCAGTTTCAAGTGATTAAAATACAGACAGATAAATGCAGTAGTTCAGGGGTGCACACAGTGAGATGGGAACACAGAGGACAGCTCTGCCTGTAGGCCTAAGGGAAGGTTTAGAAAGCAGAAAACATTTACAGTGCGCCTTGAAAGATACATTTCCAGTTGAATAGAGAGGGAGAGAAAACGACTTAGTGCTCCTGAATTGTGTACTTAAGAAGAGAGAGGCGGGGTGTGATGGCTCATGCCTGTAATCCTAGCACTTTGAGAAGCTGAGGTGGGCAGATCGTGAGGTCATGAAATCAAGACCATTCTGGCTAACATGGTGAAATCCTGTCTCTACTAAAAATACAAAAATTAGCTGGGTGTGGTAATGCATGCCTGTAATCCCAGCTACTAGAGAGGCTGAGGCAGGAGAATTGCTTGAACCCTGGAGGCAGAGGTTGCAGTGAGCTGAGATCACACCACTGCACTCCAGTCTGGTGACAGAGCGAGACTCTGTCTCAAAGAGAGAGAGAGAGAGAGAGATGGGAGGAGGAGAGAAGAGTATTCTAGGAGAAAGAGACTGAGTGCAAAAAGTATTGGAAGCAGGAATGAATAAGACAGTTCAGGAAAAAACAGCAAGCGCAGCTCAGTCTGGCTGGACACATCTGAGCGATGAGGCTGGACAGGGAGGCAGGATCCCGACTACGAAGGGCCTTGAATATTTTGCTAAAGACACTGGACTTTCAGCCACCATTTTGGCCGGCGCAGTGGGTTGCTCAGATTCTAGCGCCGGGAATCAACAAGTTGGACGTCCATTCAGAAACCCAACTATAAAGACGGTAATTATAAAGACCACAGATGGATAAATCTATAAAGAAGGGAAGAAAACAGCCTAAAAAGGCTGAGAATACCGAAACTCAGAACGCCTCTCCCTCTGCAGGGGATCACAGTTCCTCATCAGAAACAGAACAAGGCCTGATGGAGAAAGACTGTGTTCCATTAGCAGAAGCAGGCTTTAAAAAGTGGATGATAAGAAACTTCTGGGAATTAAAAGAACTTGTTCTAACCCAATGCAAAGAAACTAAGAACTTTGAAAAAAGGTTTGACGAAATGCTAAAAATAACACACAATTTAGAGAGGAATATAAGTGAATTAATGGAGCTGAAAAATACAACACGAAAACTTCGCAAACTATGCACAAGTTTTAAGAGCTGAATTGATCAAGCAGAAGAAAAGATATTAGAGGTCGAAGACCAACTTCATGAAATAAAACAAAAAGACAAGATTAGAGAAAAAAGGATAAAAAAGAACGAGCAAAGTCTCCAAGAAATATGGGACTATGTGAAAAGACCTAATCTACATTTGATAGGTGTACCTGAATGTGATGAAGAGAATCAATCCAAGCGGGAAAATACGCTTCAGGACATTATTCAGGAAAAAACTTTCCCAATCTAGCAAGGCAGGACAATATTCAACTCCAGATAATACACAGAACACCACAAAGATATTCCTCAAGAGACCAACCTCAAGGCACATAATCGCCAGATTCACCAGGGTTGAAATGAAAGAGAAAATACTGAGGGCAGCCAGAAAGAAAGGTCGGGTTACCCATAAAGGGAAGCCTGTCAGACTCACAGCAGATCTCTCAGCAGAAACCCTACAAGATAGAAGAGAGTGGGGGCCAATATTCAACATCCTTAAAGAAAAGAACTTTCAACCCAGAATTTTACATCCAGCCAAACTAAGCTTCATAAGCGAAGGAAAAATAAAATCTTTTGTGAACAAGCAAGCACTCAGAGATTTCATCACCACCAGGCCTGCTTTACAAGAGCTTCTGAAAGAACCACTACAAATAGAAAGGAACAGCCAGTATCAGCCTTTCTAAAAAAATGCCAAAAAATAAAGAACATCAACATAATTAAGAAATTGCATCAATTAATGGGCAAAACAGCCAGCCAACATTAAATGACAGCATCAAACTCATATATATTGTTACTAATTCTAAATTCAAATCGACTAAATCCCCCAATCCAAAGACACAGACAGGCAAAAAAAGCCAAGACCCATTGGTATGCTACATCCAGATCCATCTCACATGCAAGGATACACAAAGACTCAAAACAAAGGGATGGAGAAAAATTTACCAACCAAATGGAGAGCAAAAATAAATAAATAGAAAGCAGGAGTTGCAATTTTTGCTGATAAAATAGACTTCAAAGCAACAAAGATCAAAAGAAGCAAAGAAGGATATTACGTAAAGATAAAAGGATCAATGTAACAAGAAGAGCTAAAGATCCTAAATATATATGCACCCAATACAGAAATACCCAGATATATAAGACTTATAAAGAGACTTGGACTCCCACACAGTAATAGTGGGAGACTTACAGATCAATGAGACAGAAAGCTAACATCGAAATTCAGGACTTGAACTCAGATCTGGAACAAGTAGACTTAATCAACATTCATAGAGCTCTCCACTTTAAATACACAAAATATATACTCTTATCAGTACTACAGCACACGTATTTACAGGCTTAAATGAAATATTGGTTGGCTGCTTGTTAATTATTTTCTTCCCTCTTTTTTTTTTGTCTCTATTATTAAACATAATTACAGACATACCCATTTTTAGACTGTATTTTAGCCCGGGCAATAAAGCAACACCCCTGTTCTCTCTCCCTCTTCCTCTTCCTCTTTCTTCCTTTCCTTTATTCTTTCCTTTTTCTTTCTTTTTTTTTTTAAATTTTCTTTTTCTTTCTTTCTCTCTTTCTTTCTCAAAAAAAAAAAAAAAGACTAAAGTTTTAAGGAATACATTTGAAAATTCTCAAAAAAAAAAAAAAAAGACACTGGACTTTCTTTGGGCACTAGGGATACGTGGACAGATTCTGAGCAGAGGAGTGACTTTGGGTTTTAGGAAGACCTGTCTCCCAGCAGATTGGAAGGTGACTAGAAAAAGTGAGAACGGAGACAGGGAATACACTGGAGACCGCAAAGTTTGGGCAAGAGACGGGGAGATCCTGGCTGTGGGAATAAGTCAGAATTAAAGATTCAGGAGATGTTTCTGAGGAAACCACTTCCAGACCTGGTGACTGGATGACAAGAGCGAGATCTGAGAGGCTGATGGGAATGGAAAGTGCCGGAGACCAGACGGGGAATTCTCACAATTCTGGGCTACTGCCGCCCTCCTTTTCTGAAGAAGAGCAGCACTAACCGGTTCCTTTTCCCAGCTCCTCCCACCTCTCTGCGGCAGTCAGGGCCCTGTAAATCCCGTATCCAGTGTGGATCTTGGGAGAACAAGTTCACCCTGCCCATAACCCACAGAAGATCCCACTCGGCACTGGGCTTTCCTATCACAGTGAGTGAAGCCAAGTCTCTAGTTCTGTGCACCCCACCTCTGTGGAGTCCTCTGAGAGCTGGAGCTGAAGTTCCCACAGCCCGCGAACAAGTTCCCACATCCGCACATCAGAGTGGAGCTCTATCTGTCTTCAGTGTGGGAATGTCTCAAAGTTCCTATAGCCTTAGGATCCCCTGATGTGGAAGCCAGGCCTTTCATCCAGATCCCCACCCCATTCCCTCCCCTCATCACAGGATATCATCCTGCCCCAAACAGGCCCTAGGTGAAGCCACACTTCTTACCCGGTAGGGCTGAATGGCCTCGTCCAGGAACCTCACGGTGTGCGCCTGGTGCGAGGGGCCCTCCCTGCAGAACACACAGAGGAAGTCGGTGTCATTCTCGCAGAAGAAGTAGATCTTCTCGCCGTGCTCCTCGCAGTAAGTCTCCCCCAGCGGGCCCAGGGGCACAGGGGCCATGGGCGTCTCTGCCTCCTCCTCCCTTTGGCAGAGCGGGCAGAGCAGGATCTTGCCTGAGGGCTGGGCCCCCATCTGGGAGAGCTTGGGGAGGCAGAGCCGGCAGAAGGTGTGTCCACAGGGAGCGGTCACTGCATCCTCCAGCGGCCCCGCACAGCAGGTACAGGCGGGCGGCTCCTGGACCACCTTTAGGGACGGGGTTGAGGGCATCACGGTGCCTTCCCAGCCCGTCCACTCAGACCTCTCCCTCAGTCCACGCGAATTCCCTTCCCCTGAAATCGAGTCACAATTATAGGAAACACAGAGGGGAAGTACTGCAAGGCTGAGAGAGAAAGGCAGGAATGTCAGCACAGGGAAGCCACCTGGCTCCGCCTCTTGTGCTCCCTAGAACCCTGGGCCACCACCCATCAGCAGAGTGGGTCCAAACTCCAGGGCGTCTGGAATTACCCAGCATTTCCCAGTAGCGGCCAATAAGCCAGTTTTTTTTTCTTTTTCACCCAGGCTGGAGTGCAGTGGCATGATCTCAGCTCACTGCAACCTCTGCCTCCCGGGTTCAAGCGATTCTCCTGCTTCAGCCTCCTGAGTAGCTGGGATTAAAGGCACATGCCACCACGCCCGGCTAATTTTTGTATTTTTAGTAGAGATGGGGTTTCACTAAGTTGGTCAAGCTGGTCTCCAAGTCCTGACCTCGTGATCCGCCTGCCTTGGCCTCCCAAAGTTCTGGGGTTACAGGCATGAGCCACCGCGCCTGGCCCAGTAAGCCAGTTCTTTACTCCTGGCTCCTTCTGGTCCCTGGGGTGGAGAAAAGAGCACATTATGAGGTCACAGGGAGATGGGATTTCCTAGAATCTCTAGACCACAGAGGCTGGGGAGAATTGGAGAGCAGACGCTTCCTGTCAGATTGAGCAGGTGGGAGCCATAAACTTCTGGCTTTGAGGCGTGCCCGCAGCATCAAAGTCCAGGCTGGAGTGAGAGGTGTGGACTTCCGGAGACTCTGCGAGAAGGGTGTGGGGGCACACTGTTTCGACACTGCAGGTCGGCGTGTAAGGATTGCTCATTGGGTCCCCTCTTCTGCTCCCCTTTCCTCCCTCACCACATCTGCCTATGCTGACCCTTCCTCCCGTCCCAAATCCCCCACCACCTGGCACTACAGTCCCCGCTGGGGTTTGGGTAACATTGGACTGTCTTATTTATTTATGGATTTTTACTGTAGCAGGGAGAAGGCAAGAAACCATAATGCAAACAATTTATGTTGATACACATTAGAAAACAATTAGAAAGATAAACGATTTCAACCACATTTATCTAAGGTTTGGTACTTTTATATTATTACATTCAATTTTAACAACCCTCTACACAGACATTATTACTTTCATTTTACAGAGAAAGAAATGTAAACTGAAAGGTAAAGTAACTTTCCGAAGGTCACAGGGCTGGAAAGTCTCATGTCAGGGACGATCCCAGCCTCCTGGCTTAAAGCCCTATGCTCTTCCCACACCCCACGCCAAGATCAAGATCAGCAGCCACGGTTTTTCATCCGCTCACTCACGTCTGTGAATAAAACCAGGCCGTCCCCTATTCTCCCACTGGGTGATCAGCCCAGCCCCCTGTGGTTGTTCTTTTTTCACTAATAACTTTATCACCTCCCCTTCCCACCCACTCTTTGCTCTTCCTGCCACGAGTGCAGCCCAGAGTTAGACTGTCCAATACGTGAGCCCCCAGCCACACGTGTCTACCGAGCACTGAAATGTGGCCAGTCTGAATGGAGGCATGCTGTGTGTGTAAAATACACACCAGATTTCAAAGGCTTGGCACAAATGAAAAAATGTAAAATATCTTATTAATAACTTTTTATATGGATCATCTATTGAAATGGTAATGTTTTGGAAATATAGGACTAAATAAAATAACATCATTAAAATTACTTTCTCTGTTTAGACTATTTTTTTATGGCTACTAGGAAATTTTAAATTGCATATGTGGCTCGCATTGCATTTATGTTGAATAGCATTGCTTGGAAGACATACATTTGACAGCAAATTATTTAGTCACTTACCTTTTTACTTGTGTGCCTTGGACAAGCTGAATGACCTGGTTGGACCTCAGCTTTCTCATTTATAAAATGGAGATCCTGATAGCACTGATGTTGCAGAGCAGATACAGAAATCAGATAATATTTTAAAATTGTTTATATCAATGTAAGATGTACTGTCATTGTAAGCAAATTCTGGCCATTACTAGTTTTCTTTCCCCTCGCCAGCATAGGGAATATTCCAGCCTCCTTTGAGGCTTGCAGCAGGCCAGTTGAAGCAATACCATTGAAGTTGCTGGTGCAGTGTACACCCTGGCACAAGGACCTTATCTGAGTCCCCACACTCTCCTGCTTGCTGATGGGCAAACCCTGGGCTGGCTGATACCTCCAATCTCTCTGGAGACAGCTGGCCACATTGCAGAAAGGCTGGAGTGGCATCTCCACTCTGTGACCCAGTCTCCCACCTGGCCCCATACAAATATTTGTTTTGAAAGTAGGCAGTTGGCATATCACCACTTTGCTTCTACTGGAGGGTCTCTTGATGGACAGAAAGGAACAGTCAGCTCCTGGTTATGGTCATCTAAGGTCAACTCTGAAATGCTGTGAGCACCTCTTCCTTCCTCTCCTCTGCTATTTTCCATCTCTGCTGTTGGCAGAAGAATAACATCCTGGCCGCCAGAGATGCAAGTGTGTGATGATATGGGTGCTGGTGCATATTTCATATGTGCCTGTGTCCAGCCATGTACACATGTGGGTGTGTGAGTGTGTGGCCCAGCCCTTCCCCCTTGGCCAAGCAGAGAGGGTGACTTTGAGGAAGTCATAGCAGCAGTACCAGCATGGCCTCTGCTGCCTCTGTGACCAGCCTGGCAGATGAAGTCAACTGCCCCATCTGCCAGGGTACCCTGAGGGAGCCGGTCACTATCGACTGTGGCCACAACTTCTGCCGGGGCTGCCTTACCCGCTACTGTGAGATCCCAGGCCCAGATCCAGAGGAGTCCCCTACTTGCCCACTCTGCAAAGAACCCTTCCGTCCTGGGAGCTTCCGGCCCAACTGGCAGCTGGCTAACGTGGTAGAGAACATTGAGCGCCTCCAGCTGGTGTCCACACTGGGTTTGGGAGAGGAGGACATCTGCCAGGAGCACGGAGAAAAGATCTACTTCTTCTGTGAGGATGATGAGATGCAGTTGTGCGTGGTGTGCCGAGAGGCTGGGGAGCATGCCACCCACACCATGCGCTTCCTGGAGGATGCAGCGGCTCCCTACAGGGTAGGAAAGGGGAACTGAGGGATCCCAGGGTGGACTGGACTAAGAGAAACAGCAGAGTTGTGGGTTATTTAGGCCACCCTGAGGCCAAATTCTTTCTCCTTACTTATGTGATCACCCAGGCAGTAGACCAGGCACGGAAATTTGTGTGTATGTTTTTTCTGAGTGTGTTCTGTGTTCACTTGTGGCCAGCAGATAATGGGAGTTCAACAAATGCTTGTTGAATGAATGAGTGACCAAAATACGAGTGTGAGTGTCTGTGTCATGGATTGGATGTGTCTGAAGTTTGTATTTGAGGGAATGATTGTACAAACAGTGTGTACCTGTGTTAATGTTTGCGTGTTTAGAAGTGTGTCTGGTGTGTTTGGGTGGGAGTCTGAGTGTGTATATATTTGAGTGTGTAAGTGTAACTGAGAGTTCCTGTTTGCGAATAAATTCGTGTTTACATATATTCAGGTTGGTAAATATATGTGGCATGTCGTTTTATCTGACACTAAATGAGTGTGTGCTGGTTTTAGTTGTTTATGCATTGTCTGTGAATTGTGTATTTTAGTACAAGTCTGGGTGTGGATGTCTTAACTAGTTAATTAGCAATTGACAGTGAGAATTCTAAGGTATCTTTGAACACACATATTCTGGAGCAAATAATTTTTAAAACAATTTATCAATTATTTTTGTATTACCCAAGTTTCTTCTCCCTTCTGGAGTCATACACAGGTAATTGATTCCAGTAACAAGGGAGGGATGCTATTTGCACATGTTTCTTTGGGATGAGTCGGAAATTTGGAATGATTTCAGTGCAGGGCATATCAAGCTCAGGACTGACCACAGATACCACTTACCTGAAGCAAAACAAAGTAGGATGTTTAACCTGAAGAAATACTCAAGTGGGAAAACCAAGTCACAGCCTCTAACGGCATAGGATAAAGAGGGAAAGTCCTGATCAAAAGTCTTGGAGACAAATCAAGAGGAACAAGACTCAAAGGCAGTCTGTCAGGGCGTAAGCTCTCAGGGCAGAGAAGGCTTGGGCATTGTCAGCTAAGGAAGAGACTCCTTTCCTGGAGCCATTTCATTCCTGGAGGCAGAGGGTCAGATGACATGACAACCCTGAACAAATCATTTCCCATCTTGAGTATTTTATGTTCCTTCTCCGCAGGAACAAATACATAAGTGTCTTAAGTGTCTAAGAAAAGAAAGAGAGGAGATTCAAGAAATCCAGTCAAGAGAAAATAAAAGGATACAAGTCCTCCTGGTAGGTCATCATCCCTCCCCAGACCCCTCCCCTTCCTCAGGCTCCAGTGTCTTCCTGAAACTGAGGCAACATAGATTACAGGGCTTTGAAGTTATTAAGAGTTTAAATCCTGACTCTGACACTAATTCTATGACCTCAAGCAACTCTCCAACTTCAGTTTACTTATCTGTAAAATGGAGAGTAAAAATCATCATGACTTCATTGAATTACTGTAAACATTAAACCAGATTGTGCCTGTAAAGTAGCTCAGGGCTGTGCATATAATGTGCTTTTCATACAAGACAGGAGGTAGGGTGCCCCCACCACCTCCCCCCACACCTCCTCTGAGCCCTACCCCTTTTAGAAGCTACAGCAGATGGTGCTGAGACAGTACTGTGAATCTTGCTCCCAGACATGGGATGACAGGTGAAAAGGAAACCATGACACAGTTCCAGATCTACCTGGGGACAGGAGAAGAGGAGGAGGAGCGGGGTAGAAGGAAGAAGCAAACTTTCTCCCGGGCTCTCCTCCTGCACCCTCAGACTCAGGTGTCCACCAAGAGACAGCAGGTGATTTCTGAGTTTTCACATCTGTGCAAGTTTCTGGAGGAACAGCAGAGCATCCTCTTAGCACAGTTGGAGAGCCTGGATGGAGACATCTTGAAGCAACGGGATGAATTTGATTTCCGGGTTGCTGGGGAGATCTGCCGGTTTAGTGCTCTGATTGAAGAACTGGAGGAGAAGAATGAGAGGCCAGCAAGGGAGCTCCTGACGGTGAGGCCTGAACCTGAACCTGCCCCACCTGTGCTGTTCTGTGGCTCTTGCATCTTTGCCTTGCCTAAGCCAT